AGGACCTCCCCATACACTAAGGGACTATCACATTCACACGTCCTATGTAAAAAAACAACTTAACAGGTCTTTAAAGTATTTCCAGCCTGTCATAACTTCTCTCAATGTTGCTTCAATTTTCCTCTTATCCTTTCTTGACTGGGCACTAATCACCACTCAGCTGTTCTAGGTAGCTTCATAACAGAGGTCTGTGCTGGTTATGAAGTTACTTATTTTGCTTTAAATGTATATATGCATTTTCTGCATTTTCAGAGTGTTTACTGCTCTGTTCTTTTTTTTGTTCAGGTATAAGAAAATCTCTTTCTCCTATTTCAGCAGTATATGCATTGTGTCTCTGAGAATGACTAGTTATATGGGTGGCTGTATGCAACAGGTTCTTGCTGGCAGCTCTTTAATCATGTTGGGGTAAATATTCGAGCAAAGTGGTGTAATTCTATATGTGAATGCAGATCTGTGACTTTTAACTTACAGAACACCGGCGGTCCATGCCAAGTCATAGTTCACAAGTGGGAGACCCATCAACAGCCACGATCAATAAATCCTTTAGGTATGGCCATTTGCGGCAAGGGATCTTATATCCTATTTCCTACATACAGTGTGACAAAACAGTAAAAATACATAGGCTTATTTATTAAGGTAGGACAAAGTGCAGTAACTTGCATCATCATCTTCCCTTATCTGGTCACCATAAACTAAAAAGCGTATGCTTATTGGCTACTGCAGTTGACAAATGGCTATTTTACCTTTTTACTGCTTTATAAAATAAGCCTGATAGACACTTTGGCAATCCTGTTCGCATATTGCTTTAGGCTACATTCACCCTAAGTGCGATTAGATGCGTTTTATATGCATTTAAAATGGTTTTCTAGACGCATATATATGCATCTAATGATTTCCAATGGATCTATTCACAGCTTGCATTTAGATGCATCTAAATGCATATGCGTGTTAGCATACGGCATGTCAAAGTGACATTAAAGTCGAAAATGTATTTCCCTTCCGCCAATGTTAATGTCAGCACTTAACTTAAATAAGGTTTCTTAATCCGATCTTCCTCTTCTTTCCTTATGTTTTCATCTGTCCCTCCAGCGGTACGGCGGCTCTCCGATCCAGCGCTGACTCCTCTCTGCTTGCAGGCACTTCCGATCCAGCGGTGTCTGCATGAGGGTGCACGCGTCCATAGACTTACCTTGCGTCTCTGCTCGTCTCCTGTCCGAGAATCCGAACTGCGCATGCCCCCGCCCCAAGATGCTTTGCGGCCGCTCGAGCAGTTTCAGATTCTCAGGCAGGAGCGCGCGACGAAAACAGGGTAAGTTTAAACCGCTGTTATAGCGGGGTTTTTTTTTTTTAAACTTTTTACCTATATCTACTGCTTGCTGGCAGTAGATATATGCAAAAAAACGGAGGGTTTAGAACCCCTTTAAGCATCTAGTAGCATAAAAAAAAATCATCTAGCCTGACAGATTTTGCAGACAGATCTTTGCATAAAAACGCAATTGGCAAATGTGAATGAAGCCTTAGGGTGACCATTTATTTTACAGCAAGTATTTTGATTTGTATTGACCAGAAATGCAGGATACTAGATATCCTCTACTTAGATGATAAGATCTCCGTGTAACTACCTGCCTTGTTAATAAACTTACTACATAAATCGCCTGCACTAATATACACTCACTGGCCACTTTATTGGGTACACCTGTTCAATTGCTTGGTAACACAAATTGCTAATCAGTCTGTTCACAAATTGCTAATCAGCCAATCACATGGCAGCAGCTAAATGCTTTTAGGCATCTAGACGTGGTGAAGATGACTTGCTGAAGTTCAAACCGAGCATCATAATGGGGAAGAAAGGGGATTTAAGTGACTTTTTAAGTGTGAGTATTTCAAAAACTGCTGATCTACTGGGATTTTCAGACACAACCATCTCTAAGGCTTACAGAGAATGGTCCGAAAAAGACAAAATATCCATTTGAGCAGCAGTTGTGTGGATGAAAATGTCTTGTTGATGTCAGAAAAAAATGGGCAGACTGGTTCGAGATGATAGAAAGGCAACAGTGACTCAAATAACAACTAGTTACAACTGAGGTATGCAGAAGAGCATCTCTGAACGCAGAACACATCGAACCTTGAAGCAGATGGGATACAGCAGGAGAAGACCACACCGGGTGCCACTCCTGTCAGCTAAGAACAGGAAATGGAGGCTACAATTCGCACAGGCTCACCAAAATTAGAGTTGAATTCGTTTTATTGAAAAGTACAGAATATCCCAGAACAAGAACACTACTTGTGAGAATGTAAAATAGATAGGACAACGGTCCAGTATTGATAGCATATGAGATTACGGATGGTCAAATAAGTTAACAAGATCTTGTATGGGGATGGAGTCTGAACTCAAGCTACACTGGTAGCTTCAGAAATACACAACAAAAAAGGGCGAGGGAGAATGAGCCCAGAGCACCCTTTCATGTCCCAATGTAAGCAAATAACATCTCCTCATGAAAGGTAAGATGGTGACAGCAATATGCATGAAAAGGTAACCAACACTATCTGGTTAGTAGGTAGAAGTAATAATCCTGACAAAGAGAAAAGTACGACAGTAAGACAGGATAGGGTAAGGCCGAGAGGGACCTACCAAGAAAAAAAGCAAAAAAGAAAGCAGAAATAGACATGGAAGAAGGAGAGGAATAGCAAAGGAGGAGGTCTAATCTGATCCTGGGCGTTTACGCACCGCATGGTCTCATAAAGAAATCAACGAACTGGGGTTCTAAGGTGAAACGTAGCAATCTATGAAAAGGAGCGAATCTCAGGCTCACCAAATTTAAGCCATAGAAGATTGGAAAAAGGTTGCCTGGTCTGATGAGTTTCTTTCAGCTGTGACATTCAGATGGTAAGGTCAGAATTTGGCATAGACAACATGAAAGCATGGATGAAGGCTGGTGGTGGTGTAATGGTGTGGGGGATATTTTCTTGGCACACTTTGGGTCGTGATGCTATCATGTCAATATGGACCAAAATCTCCTGAGAAATGTTTTCAGCACCTTGTTGAGTCTATGCCACGAAGAAGTAGTAAGGCAGTTCTGAAGGCAAAAGGGGTCCAACCTGGTACTAGCAAGGTGTAACTAATAAAGTGGACGGTGAGTGTATACATACCCTGACTATGCTCTTCTGAAACCAGAAAAAACTATTTCATAAAAGGAAAACAGAGTTTCGTACAGACATAGCTTCAGGTTTCAAGGAATGTGGGAGTTAAACAGCTATTTATGTGGATCACAGACAAAATGTTATTTTTGATTTGGATAGAGTGTTGGGAGAGACTTTATGCCCCGTTCACACCAGGGCAGTTCAACGTTGAAACGCAATTTAAAAACGCCCTTTCAAAAATCGCCTGGAAACTGTGCTAAAATGCTACCACCCTGGTGTGAATGGGGCTTTACTATGGTGGGGCTGAAGCAGCTCTTGCCATGAAGTATACATATGCGCAGAATACAGAACATGCATGTTATGACAACCCTAATGAGTTTGCCCTTCTCCACTGACCAAGTGATCCCCATCGCTGCTATCTTCTCCACCACCTATGATGTAGCACATGCAAGGTGGACATTCAGGACTTGCTAGGATAAAGGGGGAAGCATTTGTTTTTATTTGCCAGAACAGACTTAGTCTCTTCTGCTAAAAGCATTATCTAGCGACATTTTTATTTCAGACTATAGGTCTGCTTTAAAGTGACACTAAAGGAGCTAAACCTTAAAAATGCACCAAAGGACTCTATTAATAAAAATGTATCTTATTTGCATATCACTTGGCTGTAGATCCTCAAATCATCTCTGAATTCATGCTGACACTGTCCTTCCTTCTGGAGGGTGGCTACTTTTGTTCCCCATGGTCTGTGTGCGTGTTGTAAAGTAGCCACCGCTCCAAGCTTACTCATGTGATGGACTACAATCTCAATACAAATTGGTAAACTAAACATGAGATTATAGTCCATCAAAGGAGTGGACCATGCGGAAGAAAAGTAGCCACTCTCCAGAAGGAAGGACAGTGTCGGAGATGATTTGAGAATCTACAGCTGAGTGATGCATAAATAAGATTTTTGTTAACAGTTCAGATACTTGGTTGCATTTTTAAGATTTAACTCCTGAGTTTAGTGTCCCTTTAAAACCTTTTGTAAAGGGTTTTTTTTTATATTGGTTTTCTGTCACTATTAATATTAGTATTGGGGGGGGGCTTCCCCCTTCTTGGTAAAGTAAAAACAAAGCCCCACACTCGCCAGTGGAAATCTTTTACATAGGACATATTTGCAGTGTGATATGACTTCTGTCCTGCTTGTTGCCACCGCTGCTGGGGGTCAGGTGGGGTAGAGCGTCTTACTCCCAAACTCTTCTCTGATTGGCCGACTAATAGGGAGGGAAGCCTCCAGTGGCAGCAAATCCCAAGTAGTGGAATCAGACTGTGGCAGTTGTCAGTGTATAACATCTAATGCCATTCATCTGTTCATTCCACTGGGCTGCTGAGTGTAAGAGCCCTTGCTGGTCACGCGTGCAGTTTTTCCAAACTGTTGCTTTTGCTTGTTGCACTATTACAACAGCTTTTCCCTGAGAAAAGCTCGAATTGCCACTAAAATAGTAAATCGGTAACTCCTTGTGACCATTTAGTGGACAAAGGGATGCAACCAGAATTATAGGTGTCCCCTAGTATGTTTTTTTTTTTTTTTGCATTACATGACCTGGTAAATGCATATCTGGGTACTGTAAGGCTCATAAATGCGGTCTCCCCAGCTTATTAGATAAACTCTTCCAGATTATAACCATTTTACTTCATATTCCCCTTATGTAGCAAAACAAATGTCTTTTACTTTATGTTCATTGGGATCCCTTGAGTACTATTGGATTGAAATAGGCCAGATAAGTCTACCAAAGCTTGGCAGACGGCAGTATGGTATTGAAGGGGGCCACGGATGGGTAACCTCCATGTTATTGCTACAGCTCTATGTCTGTGTATGTAAATGCCTCTTATTGATAAATTTAGTAAATTTGCATATGTTCTTCTTATGTAATATCTGTAGATGATGAAACTCACATAGATGATGGGGAATTTGGAGTTCACGGTAAGTAAAATGATCTTTATAGTTTGTAACTGCTGTGGTGCATAATTTGTGCATGCATTTACAGTGCAGAAAAGGGTGCAAGGGGAAATGATAAGCCGTACAATGATTACAACATTGTTTTATGATGTGTCTACTGTACAAATACACCGATGTCCCTAATTTTATGAGAGTCGGATACAATCATAACATTTTACTGAACAGTTGTAGAAAAACCTGAAGGCCTTCCCTTCTAGGAATATCATTGCTGATCATACGAGAATTGTATACTTGTCACAATAAAATATGTATGAATGTATTGTGCTTTTATTTATAAATTCCTTTGTACATTTAGCAGTTGAAAGATAGATATGGGTTCATTGTATTCACATAATATCAAGAGGAAAGGAAAGCTGTCTGATTACTAAGAAAGCAGAGGTAAAGATGTTCATAAAAGTGATGTTGCCGGTCAAGTTGTACTTTTGTAGCTGTGAAAAATGTCAGCTTGGATCGAATTGTTGTGGACAACACAATGAATGTACCTCCAAGTTTTGATACTTCATGCCAGTGAAGGGAGTACTTGTTTCCAAATTTCATATTTTAATAATGTCTCCCAAAAACTAAAGCTGACCTCCCAGGCTAGCACCAAAATACTAGGGATGCACCAATGCCGGTTTTTCAGTATCGAGTACGAGTTCCGATATCTTGCTTCCGCTGACCTGAAGCCAACTTCCCGGGCAAATTAGGAAGTCGGGCGGCGGGTAATGACATACCGCCCGGCTTCCTGATTGTCCTGGGAAGCCGGCTCCATGTTTGGCCGGCTTGATTGTGATTGGCTGGGAAGCCGGCTCCATGTTTGGCCGGCTTGATTGTGATTGGCTGGGAAGCCGGTTTCCCAGCCAATCAGCAAGGAGCCGGCTGTGCGTTCCTAACCATAAGAAAGCCCTTAAATACGGAGTAATAGCTAGCAGTGGGTGTCCCAACCTATAACCCTAATGATCACATGGCTGGTTGCCACCTTGGTATCGAATGCTTCTCAGCTGAAGCAGGTAACATCGTGCTTCTGGAGGGAGGTCTATTTAATGTATCTGCTGGGGCCAATCAGCATGAAGCCGGCTTCCCAGCAAATCGGGAAGCAGGTCATTACTCACAGGCGACACCACCATTTCCTGATACTGCAGCTTCCAGTGTCGCATACTTGCTTTAAGTCTGTCCATTATTTGACTTTGTAACCGTGCTGATTAAAAGAGAGCTGTGGCCAAACCTTTTTTTGGCGTTGGTTTTCTTTTTGGCCACATGAGGTAATTTACTAATGGCTGTGCAGTGTGGCAGAGTTGGGAATGACGAGAATGACTTAACAGAATTACACACTTATTGGCTGGTAAACTATTTCAATTGTGTATTTCAGATGTGTATTTTATTTGCCTAAAGTTCCACTTTTTGTTAGTATGACATAGTTTGCAATTTTTTTTTTCTGAAGAATTATAGATGAAACCTAATTGCCGCTATGGGCAGGTTCCTAATATTTGCTCCAGTTTTCATAAATCTGCTCCTATATAAAACCAATCTGTCTATTCAAGGTCTGCGTCATTGTTCAAGAGAATCCTTAGTGTCCCTATTTGAATCTGATTTGAACAGGGCTTGCTAAATCCTTGAGGCCAATATACCCCAGCGAGTGTTAGGTCCAGGGATATGATGACCTCTTGCTTTAAAAATTGATTTAATAATGTCATTAATGTCACTTTGTACCTCCCACTCTTCTCATAACAGAGGTCTGTCTGTGCATTTGGGGAAGTTTACAAAGTGCACCCCTCTGTTAACGCATGTATTTGACAAGAGAGTGTTCATAGGTCGCATGCAAATGGCCCTGCAGATTGTTTGTTGTAGACCCTTTTCAGTCGCTGAGAAATTGTGCAGACAATGCATTTTTTTTCCTCCTATAATTTCCTTAATATGAATATGTTTAGGTTGTTTGTTGCAACTGATAACTTTCGTCTACTTTGTTAGATGGCGTTGAAACAGTGGATTCCGGATGGCTGACATGTCAGACTGAGCTTAGATTGCGTCTACAGTATTCTGAAAAACAACCTGTTTCTATATCCAAGAAAAAATTTAAAAAGTCTAGGTTTAGGTATGGTGATCGGCCTTTCTTGTAGAGCATAGATTGCTTGCCATAGACTTCAACTAATGCTGTTTGTACAGGTCATAGAACAGCAGATTGCTTGGGTGGGGGTTATGTTATGTATGGGGTTTTTTTCTTTTTCTTGTATACCACAACTTCATTATTATTTGACCTAGTCTTTGTGGAGGAATTCTCCTTATAACAATTCCTTAGGTGCAAAAGTCAGAGAAAATTTATTCAACCAAAGTGAGCCATTGGATATGATGGAGTTCATGGAGCACAATTACATCTGAATGGCTGGTCTATGATACTAGATTACCTGCAGGTAACACTGGGATTACATTTTAATCAGCTTTTGATATAACAAGATATCTCTCTATGGGTAGCCATAGCTTCATCACAAAAAGGGAAATTCCTGGTTTAGGCATTTCCAAGTTCTCATTGTAAGGGGGGGGGGTCAGAAGAGAGAAGAAGGAAATATAACCAGTCATAAATTGTTGTTGGCATTGGCTGAGTGTTATGGCAGATTTCAGCAGTCAAGTGGCTTGTTCTGGGATGGGTAGATATCACCTTGTCCATCTGTGACAAATGGTAAAGATATATCTTTTGGCACCACTAGACTATCTGTAAGGCCATGTCTCAGTGGGCTTTTGTTTGTAACAGAGTTGCTTCTCTCTTCATACCAATAAATGGGAATACAACAGCGGCTTGACGTTGGTCAAGCTTAGTAGTTCAAATGCAGGTTAAATGGACATCAACTGCAGGTCAAATTCAGCTCTCTGTAAATTCTGAATGAGTTTGACCCACGCCCAAAGCCCATTGACATGTTTCATGGAATTGTCTTGTGTGGTTTATGCAACCAGTCTTCCTTTTCATTTTGCCATTGGATTAATCCAAAGCTTTACCAAGACACTTCTTCCTTTTGAGACATTCACAAAAGAGGGCAATTGCCTCTGCAGGACCTTTCAGCTTCTTGAATATCAGGAGTAAGCAGACACTTTGTCTTAGGAGAAAGGTCATTGTTTTCTAAGGCTAGGTTCACACCTAGGCGACACCTCACCACGCGGTCAGGAGTCACCAAGGTGTGAACCAATCGCGATGTGGGTGCCATTATTTTCTAATGGCACCCCAGTCGCACCGGGCGGATTGCTTCCGAAAACAGCCACGAGTCGTGTATTGCAAAAAGAAGGTACTTGTATGTATTGTACAGGACCACACGTCCCGGGTGTCGTGTGTTGAAGTACAGGTGTGAACCTAGCCTCCTACAGAGGCCATGTGTGCTTTTCTTCCATGATCTCTGCATTTTCTTTTTCGATGGTGGATCTTTATTCATTGAGTGGGATGAACCTAATTGCCAGTTGAGAACTGTACAAACAGCATTACTAACGCCAAATTTATAAATTATAACTTTGTTACACATTTTAGATGAACATGCAACAGAAAATACTAAAGCTCATATATACTGTATTGGAGACCCTTTAAAGCAAAACTGTCGGTTACATTCATGTTGAAACCAAAAATGTTTTCATTGCATGCCATTTGCTTTCAGTGCACCTGGGGAGCCCATGGTTGAACTTGCAAAAAAGTTAGCCGCTTCATGGAACTAAGGCCCATCCCCACTCTTTATGCCCCCAATACTGCAACAGCGTGCCTGTGTGTATGCACGTTTTTGTGTGCTGCATAGGACAGCCCATTTCAATGGGCTTCCCAATGCACAGCATTTCTCCCCCCCCCCAAAAAAAGAAAACGTTCCTTCACATTTTTATTTTATTTTTTTTAACACGCCACATAAACACATAGGGGGGTATTTTTTTAAACTGGAGCAGACAGAATCTGGAGCAATTGCCCATGGTAACAGAGATAGTGGGTTACATTGGAGGTTTCACATTGAAAGGTAACAGTTGGTGCTTGCATTTGATCCAAGAGGATTACATTTAATTGTGGTCTCGGAGCATTCTAAAACAATTTAAATGAAATACCATGCAACACTCGGTGGAAAGTTTTTCATACATGGTTATACCGATCTCTCCACATTCCTTGCAGGGTGGCAGCTAATAAACACATGAGATTAGTAGGTACAGCACAGCAGCAGACATTTAACTTTTATAAAGCAGTTGGTCAGATACCAGTACATTTTCATGAGCAGTTTCATATGTAATAACTTATCTCATCAGATGATACTAGGAACAACATCTTTTCAGCTTTTAAATGTTTGCTGTTTTTGTTCACTTCTCAAGAGCCCCAAGTAAAACAAATCTTTGTTTTCCAAGACATGACACATATCTATAATGAAAATGAGCCTGGATTTTGACCTGACTAAGAGCTTTGTTTGACAGGTTGGGGACTGGGGAGGTGATTTGAAACTGAAGTGATATCATCACTTGCCTGTGTACTCCTGTTCCATCAATCAACTGTAATGTCCCATGCCATGCGTTTCTGCATCCTATTTCCCTGTTGGTATCGAGGTCTGCTTTGCCTTATAGGTGAAGCTGGCTGGTAGAGTACTAGAACAGAGGTAAACATGGCATGGCTTTTGGTGCAACAGGTGGAGGTGTAGCATCTCTAAGTAATTGGAGTTGAGTCAATCTTTGCCGGACAGATACATACGGTAGACAGATCTTGGGTTTCATGAATGTGGTTTTCTTCAGATTAACGAATCAGTAACCATGTATTCAGGACAATAAACAACTGGTGATGCACCTGGAAGTAATTGAGTAACTCCTCTTTTGTGTGTGAGTGTAACTGTTGGACTTCATCCCCTTTGTTCATTCATGCTGTTAATGGGAAACATACCATTCCTCTTGCTATCCCATCTAATAGTACAGGTTCATAGAAACTGATCTTTATAGCTCCCCCTCTCATCTCACCAGGCTCTGGCAATTCCTGGATGGCAGCACTGGAAATCAGATATTTGAAGGTAAAGTTGAAATTTGCACACTTTCTGGATACATGATTCATCCTTCTTCGATTGGGGAAAGAAGGGTGAAAGTAAATGAAGCGGATTTTTACATTGAGATTTCGCAGCTGCTATCTAGAGATTGCCCAAGAGTTGTTAAATGAGAAAGGGAGCAATACATGGCTTACAACAGGATCTATGCATAAGTACTGTTCGATGTGAAGGCAAGAAGAATGACATGGCAAGAATGAGTCCCTAGAAATGGTGTTGCCCTTGAATGAAACCCTTTTCAGGTGCAGTGCTTTATAAAACATCCATTATGCTGCTTTCAATCAGGTCCCTGATCTGCTAATAAACGAAAATTCAAGTTTACTGTTACAGGTACTAACTTTACAGCTGATGTCCTGTTGCTTTTGTATGGACAGGGTGAAGCTCTCTCTAGTCGGTCTTGAAGAAGAGGGCGAAGATGACGATCAAGATAAACCCTCTCCTACTTTTCTCCTGAAGATGGCTAACTCATTTGAGATCTCTTTAATAAGCAACACTGAATACAAATCGCGGCACTCCCAGCCAGAATGTGGTTATGCTCTGCAATATGACCGGTGGACAGAGTTCAGTATACACACTATGGAGCCCGACAACTTGGAGTTACTGTTTGACTTTTTTGAAGTGAGTATTTATAGATTTGATAAGTATCTTTTTATGGGAACATCTACATTTGCTGGCTATTTATGATGGGTCCCTAAACAGGACATTCAAGCACAGTGAGGGATAAAAGCACAGACGCAACTATTAGCTTAAAAATGTTTTTGAAGCTCAGAGATTAAGATTCAAGCAAGTGCTGTAGAGAGCATTGCTTCAGGAAAATGTGTTTTGTTTTTGCAGGATACTTATCCTTGAGTTGTAAATGATGATAAAAGGGGTTCCATAGCTGCCTGTTGAGTAGACCAGTGACACCCTGCTTGCTCTGAATGCCTGTAGTGACTCGCCTCTTAATGCCCAACTATCAGCCAGGATCAAGCCAGTACTGCCTGTATTTCATTGCAGTTGCCACTTGCAATGATTTTTCTAGGTTACAATTTTGTTATTGCTGGCACTAATTTCTGTGACTAGCTATGATCTGTGGGTAAAATATGCCACAGGTATGCTACTACCCCACTGAAAATACTGACCTCGGGAAAAGTGAAAGCAGCTGAATCATGCTCACATGTGGTTCCTTATTTCTTGATGCCGTTGAATTGAAACATCTATAATCCTTTTACTTAGATGTTGTGTGTTTTTTTTTCTTTTTTTTTTCTGTCATCTATTCTGTATACAGTTCCTTTACAGGGAAGAGCTGTTGGTGAGAGAGGAATTTTAGCGGATGGTGGTGGGAGAAGAGGACAGAAGTTAATGGTTGAGTGGGCATTTGGGAATTTATGGTGGTTTGGGTATTGGGCGCTTACTGGGGAGGTGTGTCTGGAGAAAAGGCAGGAATAGATCATTTCTGGGTCAAGGAGAAAGGATTGGTGTATTTGTAAGGGGGCAGAGAAGCCATTGGAGAACATACAGGTAGCAGACTTGTAAATGAAAATAAAGGAGGTGGATTTCTCTCTATCTCCAGCAAATTATTGTAATGTCAGGCAACCTTTGATTTGTGCTTTGGAGCCTGTCCCCGACTATGGCAACTTTTTTTTTTTCTTTTTTTTAAAATCTTCCTTGAGAACAGCAATAATTCTCGGTATTCCCCAAAGGTGAAAGAATAAAATTCAAATCAGTGATTTACAACCGCTTTTTGTAATTTTTTTGCCACCTTGTTCATCATGTTTACCTTGCCTCTCTTATAGGAAGAATTGAGTGAAGCTGTGGTGCAGGGTGACACACTCCCAGGTCATGTGGGCAGTGCCTGTCTCCTGTCCTCCACTATCATGGAGACTGGAAAAAGCAACGGCATCATCACACTCCCAATTATGAGCAGGAACGCCAGGCAGACTCTTGGAAAAGTTCGAGGTATCTACTTTTTCTTTTCTTTCCTGGATGGTTGTCAGATGACACGCACACTCCCAGCCTTTTTTTTTTTCGTCCTGGGCATCTTTTTCGTGGGAAAGGAAAAGCTGCAATTTCACACCACAGCCTACGCTGTAACCAGCAAATGAAACGCCAAGCCAACTCACTTTTTCAGTCACTGACGTGATTACTATTCTGAAAGGAACAGCTTGCGGCATAATGTGCCAACTAGCTCAGACAGGGAGGTTTTGTCAGCGACTTGCCCTGGAATTTTATGTTTTGTGTCGTTTGGAGATTTAAATCCACACAATAATCACATACAAATATTTATAATAGGCAGGACAAACCGGCTTCATTGCAGCTGTTATGTAACTATTTCCTCAAAGATGGGAATGACGGAGGTTACCTATATGCCAGGTGGAGTTTTTGTGGTTTATTATAACATTTTACTTGTTTGCCATATTTTTTTAGAACTGTATTTTTTGCATATAGTCATAGCTTTGCCCTGTAGCAGTACACACAGTGATTTAGCTATGGAGATTTATTTACGAAGACCGTGTCTCTTTTTATTCATGCCAGATGTTTTTAAACTCTTCTGTAGTGGTGATGATGATGGTGTCTAGAACCTGTAACAATTTGTTTCTGAATGCCCTGAATAGGTGTCTGTGTCTGCGCGTTCTCTTTAAACCCCAATTCTGGGTTCAAAAACTTTCATTCCGATATGTTTCTCAATAGCCGCAAACGTTATCAATTCACTTTGTTGGCTTTGGGTGTGACCCAGCAGGTCTTCCCACCACAGGTTGCCTGCAAAAAGATAAAGGGGGTCAGATACATGACCATCATTATTCCTGTGTGTATGGGGACTTCCTAATGGGTGTTGCTCTGCACATGGTAGATCATACAGAAGGTGTTGATTCTGCATCATCATTACTATTTGCAATGATTTTACCATTTCTATTTACAGTTGACTATATTCTTATAAAGCCAATACAAGGTTATTCCTGTGACATGAGAGGCTCTTTCTGCAAGTATTGGAAGCCGCGGACTCCACTTGATGTTGGACACAGAGGATCCGGCAACTCTACCACAGCTGCAAAGTAAGCTGCGTAGTGTTAATACCCGACATGTAGGTTAAAGTAAATAGTCCTTGTTTGCTAAAGTGCATGCAATCTCCTATTTGCTCCGTGTTTTAAATATACCAGTAAAAACATTCTGTTTTAATAAGTGCAAAAGAATGTGTTGATCCTGCAAGAAATCCAATGCTGTCCTGTGTCCTCTGCAGTGTTATCTCAAGCAGTCTTGTTAGTTTTGTCCAGTTCATCTTTTTGTTGTGAACACAACAAAAAGCAAAATTCCTTTTTGGTGAAATTCGATTGGTTTCTTCACTTAGACAGATTGTTCTTTAACAACTACCGTATTTTGCGGTCCATAAGACGCACCGGACCATAGGACGCAGGGAGGTCCGGCGCGCCTTATGGAGCACTCGAGACTGTAGCTTCTGTCACAGCTTCTATGACAGAAGCTGTGACAGAAGCTGCAGTTAGTGACCGCTGAGACAGGTGGCGCTGTGATTACAGCGCCACGGTCTCCGTGATGACACAGAGCAGGCGAAGAGCGTCTATTCTTCGTCTGCTCTATGGTTATCTCGATCGTTGCCGCTGCTCGGTTTTAATACGAGTGATCTCATTAGATCACTCGTATTAAACGAGCAGTGGCTCCTACTACTCGCCCGGCGCCCGAAACTGCATGTCTCGGGCGTCGGCATTCGCTCCATAAGACGCAGGCACTTTTCCCCCCTCCTTTTGGGGGGAAAGTGCGTCTTATGGAGCGAAAAATACGGTACATTTTTTTTTTTATTGATCAAACAATTGTCAATTTGATTGAGTTTGATTTTTATTAAGTTTATGGCAAGCATTAGAACAAGGTTTATGGTGGAGCAAGTATTTTCCTAATTGTAAAATACGGGACAAGCGACAATTCAGGTCTTCAAAAGATTGGACACTGGTAAACAAAAGCTTTAAGCACAGTCTAGTTTAACCCCTCCCACACCTATCATGCAGTTTTTTTTTGTGTCCTAGGTGAATGGGCTTCTACTCTCTGCTCTGAGCAAAGCAAACCCTTTCTTGCTACTTCTTTTTCCTTCTTTATAATCAAGGTGTGTGTGTGTGTGTGTGTGTGTGTGTGTGTGTGTTGTTTTTTTTCTAGTAAGAGTTTCTCAGTTGCTGCAGAGCCACTGGGACTCAATTTGCAGCTTCTGGTCCAGCTGATCCTTGGAGGCCATACCCAGAGCCCACTGTGAGAAAGACACAGGGCAGACCTGTAATGTATTCAGCACCGGACTCTGCCGAAGGTGCTTTACTACATACCCAAGGTGTAGAGAAGTTAGACACAGAGTGCCCTATAGGTCCAGGGCCGTGCTGCACCCATTGGTAGTAGCTTGCTCCTGAAAACTTGCTTACTGAAGTAGTGAAGTCTGTGTGGATGGGGCTTGTCTCCCAATTCCTGCCTACTATTTCTAACCAGCCAGTTGGACCACAGGGCATCCTTGGCTCTTTTATTGTGGGGCCTGGTGGTTAATGTGGGAGCACCAGGTGTGGCATATTAGGTTGTGCATTGGCAGCAGGGAGAGCCACAGCATTATTTTAACCTTGGCACCATTTACTCTGCTTATTTCCTGTGCCATGAAGTTCTCCATGGGATGAATCCTGTCTTTTCTCCAGTCTAGTCTGGATCAACATTTTGTCCTTGAGTATCATCAAGGTTCATATCTTGGCCCTAGCAATTCTTTTCCAATGATTTGCTTGCTTCTTTTTCCTTGGTGAAAGTCTTTATACAGGGTGTTGCTTTATTGTTCTAACTGTACGTTCCCCAGTAACTCCATGTGATCCTAATCTGATTCGTTCAGTTCCCCCTGTAACTGCTTTTTGAACCAATGAGGGATATGCCCATCTAGTTAGACTCCTAAAGTTGCCTTCCTTGTTTCTATCACTTGGGCAAGGTGAGTCTCTGAGTTGGTGGCTTGACCTGTAAAAAGCCTTTTCTTGCCGTACAGAGATAAGGCTGTCTTTAGGCCCATGGTCTTCTTCTTTTTTTTTTTTTTTTTTTTTTTTTTTTTAAAAAGGTGTTTTCTTACTTCCACCTATACCAGGGCATTTCTCCTATGTCCTGCTCCATCACATCTCAAGAAAATTATCCTCCATTGTTTGGATGTGGTACCTGTTGTTTTAGGTTTCCCTCTCGGGTCTACCTCTAGGGTCTCCCTCTCAGCTATGACTTCCTTCAGACAAACTGACCTCCTATTTTTTATTTTTTAACTGAGGGTTCACGTAGACTGTTGAGCTGTCACAGAGGCTCTGTCACTGGAGATCAGAGGGAGTTCTGTTTCCATCTCCCTCTGATCTCCCCGCCTGTCTCTGAATGCAAGAAGTGATGTATATTATATCACTTCTGCATTCAGCTGTTTGTTCTCCGGCAACAGAAACATGCATTGGGTGCACCTACATTGGAAAATGACAATTGCGCCGCACATGTTGCATATCACCGTGAACGTCAATTGTAGGGCCATCAATCACTGGTAACACTACACTAATGAACGGTAAAAGCTTTTAAAGCATCACCTATTGCCAATTTAGGGTATGGTAGTTTTTTTTTATTTTTTTTTTTAGGGCATGTGCCATTTTAAGGGCCTGTTCACACGACGTCCGTTTTCTGTGCTGACCTGATCCGTACGTTCCTGCACTAAAAATGTATCCCTATGTGTTTTATGGGCTACAGTTCTCACGTGAGCAGTCCGTTCAGGTTACGACAGAAAAATACTGCATCTCACATTTTGTACGGTCCGGAAACGCAAAACGCGTCAAACGCACTGCACTTTTTTTTTAACTGGAATGCATCAAAAACGCAGCAAAACGCATAGCACTGCGTCTGCTGATCAGGACCTGATACTCATTTGAACAGGCCCTAAAGCTTGACATGTTTGGTGTCTATTTACCCGAAGTGACTCTGGCTTTAATTTTTTTTTACCACAAATTTGGGTAATACATTTTTCATAACGTAGGGAAAACGGGTGGTGTTTTTTTTTTTTTCCTGTTTTTATAGTAAAAAACAAAACCCAGTGGTGATTTTAAATACCACCAAAAAAAAAAGCTCTATCTGTTTCCAAAAAATTATATAAAATTAATTTTCAGCACAGTGTTGCATGACTGAATACCTGTCAGTCAAAGTGCTGCAGTGCTGAATACAAAAAAATGGCCTGGACAGGAAGGGGGGGATAAACACCCTGGTCATCAAGTGGTTAATGTAGGCCTGTTAGCAGTTTTGTTTTTGCTGTGTTGCCCACCACTAAGTTGTTTTTAGACACCTCAATGTTCCTGAATTACAATGCTGTGTCCCATAATATACTTGAAAACAAGGATTTTATGGTAATTTCAGTTTTGTTTTGTTTTTTTGTTAAATTATAGTTGGGTACTATTTTTTCTTTTTCTAGACTGGCCAAAATTCGAGAAAACACAGTAGCGTCATTGAAGAGTGCCGCCAGTCATGTAAGTTCTTCGGTGTATGTCCTCTCGTATTTTGTCATACCTTGTCCTGCACTTAGTCATGATATCAAATCAGTCCTCATTATTAAACTTAGAGTAAAAAAAGATAACAAATTGATTGGGACTTTTAAGGTATGTTACATCACTCAAGCCCAGACTAATATAAAAAGGTAAAAATACAATCTTTCTTAGTACATCTAACATAATAAAATTTCAGTTCAAATCATCCCTCAAGTACAATAAAGCTTTCTCCATTGAGAACCTCGATATTGTACCATGCTCTGAAAACTCAGGTATGTTCACAACATCTCATTTGTATTTCTTATATCAAGATAAAGTCACACGTGAGTTGATGTCTCAAGTTCTCTACACGTTTCACTCCCAAATATTTGGGAGCTTCTTCACGAGGGAGTTGCTCTATAATCGATGCATACATATAAACGTGGATCCAAAAATGTTCAGTCACATAAGATCTTCAGCGCCAATAGCAACCGGAGAAACCACTTGACCCATGAAGTCACCAACCACTTCACCCAGGGATGGCAGCCCACCACAAGGAGCGCGGGACCTCCTTCACAGACCATGTCAAAAACAAAAAAGAATAAAAAGAGGTGCCTTTCCCTCGTGTAATATTGTATAATAAAGGAATTTTTGTTGTATAAAAACATCCATATACTCACAAAAATACTTGCATTATGTGCATGCTGATATTTGCTATCTTGTATTGTATGGAGTGTATAAGGAGCTCAGGTTCAAATACATCACTACTGGAATCTTCTAGAGATAAGAGAAGGTGGTCAGTGACTCAAACCATTAATGGAGGTATTTGCTTTGATGTCTCATAGCCATCTATGAAAGCTAATTTCTGCTTGTTTCTTGCATCTCCAAGAGAAAAATCTTCTGCTGTATTACTACTATACTACTTTCTACCTACTTCCTCCTACCTACTTCTATTCTTTTTTACTTTTCTTACAACAGCATATGTATTCCCACTCCTCAGGCGGCATTCTTCTTAATATAAAATGACAGATCCAGTAGCAAAGTGAAACCCCCATGAAATGGCTGCAGCAGTTGTACATACCTGAGAGTTTCAGCACGGATTTCACCAGCAGAATTCCTGAGAGATTTCTGAAAATGTCTAGGGCCTGTTCGCACCAACCTGATCTGCTGTGGTGCATTTATTTGCATTTATGTTAACATGTGTTGCATTAGAGCAGTCTATTAATTTGAATGGGATACCTAACGCACTAAAAATAGTGTATAAAGAATTTTCTTCAGCCCGCAGCAACTCATATTGGTGATTTGCCACACAGGTCAGGTGCATTAGGGTGCCATGAATGGTACTGCATCGCACCAATGCGCGTACAATGCATTGCCGTAATGTGTGCATTGTCACGACATAATGGTGTGAACGGGTCTTTAGGTGGATTAAAGAAGATTTGTACGGTATAAAGCTGTATCTAACAAAGGCAAGCAGAGGACAAAGGGACA